GGCTGCTAACCGCAAGGTGCACAGTTCAAGAGCACCAGCCACTCCGCTTCTCTGTGGTCTAACCTCAACTCTCACTTCTCTTATCTGTGCTTCCAGATCCACTGCGGGACATACCTCATTCTTTTCCAACCTGGCGCATGTGGTCCCAATGCCAGGTAGATGTCTTCTCATATTTCAGCATCCCCCCAAATGGAAAGATAAGGTGCTAAGGGAAGAGCCCAAACACTCCAGTGCTGACCTCTCAGGTAGTGGGGGTTGTAAACAAGGATCCCTGGTGACCCAGTGGTTAAGCACTTTGCTGCTCACCCAGAGGTCGGCAGTTCAGATCTCCAGGGAAAGATGTGGCATCTTCCACTTTGGGAAACACTGCTAAATGGGCCGGTTAGAATCAACCCCACAGCAGCTGGCTTGGGCTTTTGGCTTTTAGGTCATGAGGGATGGGGTGACAATAACACTACTAACAGTCATTTCATGCGGTGACTGGAGGCCTGCCGACTGCACAGCACATGGGGAAGTCTGCCCTAAACGGCAATGGGCTAATCACAGCTTAGGGATTGTGAGACACCTGCCTACTTCATTCTCACACCTAAGGTCAATGACGACTCTAGGCCCCCTACAGGTAATGGAGCACGGAACCAAACAGGACACCGCCCTGACACGGGGCCTTCCACCCGGCAGAGGCAGGCTGTGCTCTCTGCACAAAGCCCCCACGCGCAAACGCATCTCGTTTGCAGGGAGCTCTGTCAACATCGGCTTTCTGTGTGTCTGTATTTGTGTATACGGTTTGTAAAGTGCTTCATTTTTTACCCCCAAAGGCAAAAGATAAACTCATTTATTTAAAAATCATCAGCTGGATTGCATTAAATGGAGGGAAAAGCAAAAAAAAAAAAAAAATTACACAAGACAGCCATTTGCTACATTAAGCACAATGATTTCTCCGGTTACTTAATTATAGACAGGCATAAATACACTCCATTCTGACATCTTGGGGTCTGTTGAAACCGTAGACCTGGGTTTCGGCATGTAACGCAGGGAGGGTCATATTCCAATGTGTGTGTTAAGCAAACCTGAGAGTTACCGTTGTATATTGGGACCATAATGACTTCACTAAAACAAGACCTACACTTTTAATTAATCTGCCAAGACAAATTACAACTCATAGCTCACAGGTAATGACCACGGACAGCTGAGACTCAGAGCCGCGACTCTCTGGGAGAGAGGGATGAACAGCAGCACCGGAGTCACTGGTTTTGTATTAAATGTGTGTGTGTGTGTGCGGGCGCACATTCGTTAAACAATCACGGTAGCTTGAAGGGAGACAGGCAGGTCAGGGAAGTTGCAAGAAGGGGGCGGGCGGGGCAGGAGGAAGGGAGAGAATCCTAACAGCTTCTGCTTCTGGAGCGTGTATGGGCTCGGGAAGGCAGGGCCAGGCCTTCCCTCTCTCGGGAAAGCACTGTTAGGGTTTCAGTCGCAGAGGTGGCCTGGCTGCGCAGGGTCACAGAGCTAACCTGAGACCAGGACGGGGCCGGGAGGAACAGAAAGGGATGCCCGGTCCCTCACTACACAAGGGACGCACACAAGGTCACCTGGCCCCCACCTTATGTCAAAGATATGGTGAGACCCACGTGGAGCTGCACAGCACAAATGAACACGTGAACACAGTTCTGCCCCGGTGTACCTTGCTCAGTGTAAGCCAGGGCGGCCCGGGGCCTCCTGGTCCATCTGCCCCTGGGTGGAGGGCACACATTTTCAAAGCTTGTTGCCAGGCCACCAGAATCGAGAGCACCTGGGCTCTACCTCGGCCACACTGAACCTTCAGTTCTGAGGAATGGGCCACAAATCTGAATTTCTCGTTGGCTTCCCCTGGGCTTCCTTTGCACGAGACGTCTCCTATCTGCCAGGTCCACGGACCGCTCGCACTATTACTGGGAGTTGTTTAGAAACGCAGAGTCACAGGCCCCCCGGGACTCCCACATCAAACCCTGCAGCATAACAGGACCCCCAGGTGATGTTCATTACTCACTGCAGAGCCTCTGCTCAGAAACACATGCAAGGGCTTAGGGGAGGCAAAGGCCTATTTCTTCATATTTAGGTGTGAGTGGAGGGGCCAGAAGGAAGAGCGAGACAGGGCCTTTGGTGATGACGAGACAGGTTAGCACGCTGACCAGCCAGAACCGCCAGAGGGGCCTCGCTGCACTTAGAGGCTGGTTCTCCAAGACGCATTTCCCAAATAAAAGGAGCATTCTTTGAGGTGGGTGGGGGTTGTACTAATATCCTGTCATATTTAAACTCAGTTATTACCAATGAAGCATTCTGTAAAAACCTTGCTCACGATACATGCTTGGCATCTTTAAGCAGCAGGTGTGGGAGAAATTGGGTGGGGAGGCAGTGCCGGCCGTCACTCGGGCACCGCGGAGGACCTGGTAATCACACCTCTAAATGGAAGCCACCACATAGCCACAGAGCGAAAGTAAACAGGGGCTGAGGGGGCAAGCCACCGCCCCCCCACCCCCCACACTACGTGTCTGCTTCACTGACCATGAGGGACCAGACCGGGCTCGCCCATGCCCTGCTGGCCTCGGTCACTGGAAACCAGAGAGCTGTAGCTCCCCATTCCAGAATCCCGAAAAAATAGAAGCTGTGGTGATTTGTACAAGATGCAATACATAAGGGGCAGAGATTCTGAACCCAGCACACTTTGCACTGCGCCCCAGGAGGCAGCATTGGGGTGGAAACCAGGGGCTGGGGCTGCCGAGCCCTGTGATGGGGCCTGAGCAGAGAGAGGGTGACCGACATCCTTTACCTGAGTGAGGGTGTCCCACAGACATGCCAAAGCCTGGGCAACCAACAGGACCCCCCCGGGGTCAGGACAGAGGCTGTCCAAACAAGAAAAGCCCAGATGGTATCTCCTGCCTCGCAGCTGGTGCCCAATGGCGGAAGCGGTTCTATTTTATGAACAGGGACGCCCTATTCCATCAGTAGCTCGTTCTCAGGTTTCACGTTTCGTTGGAAGGTCCTCTCTGACTAGACACTAAGGGCAAAACTGCAAGTACGATGAAAAGCGCCGGACATGGATCACGGCTGTTTAACAGGAAGGAGGTGGTCCGGAGGAGGCTCAACCTGAACGAGCTGTGAGACTCTCTTCCATGATGTGGGGAAAGCTAAGGGATGAAGCGCAAGGCATGGAACCAGCTTAGCCCAGCAGTTCAGTCACGTTGACAAAGCCACACCAGAATGGACCCAAAGTCTTAAAATGTGGGTGAGCACACATGCTAAACAGACTGGGAACAGGCCAGGTCCAAGCCCCGTGGCAGGTTTAACCTCATTTTTAGAAAATAAGGGCAATGTGCACACTGCATAGCCCCCAGACCTCTTGAGCATCCGAGCTGAAAACAACAGTGTCCAGCTCAACAATGGCAGCCCGGACCACACCACTGTGAAGGGATGTTGCTCTCCACAGACAAGGCAGTAATCCACTCTCTCTTCCAAGATTCCCATTCCAGGGCTGTATTTTTTTCCAGGTTCACTTGGCATTCTAGATCACCCAAAACTTTAAGTCCATTAAACAAAATAGGTTCTGTGCCAGTTTTAAGTCACTAGTCGTGCCTCAGTTATCTTGAATGGATGTGAAGTCAGGGCCAAGCACCGGGCGACAACACCCAGGCCTGCTCTGTGTGTGAGATTCAAATCTTGCCATCTAGGCCACTCTGACCCGGGTGTCAGAGTGGAGCAGTGCTCTACAAGGTGGTCAATGACTCGATTTCAGTACAGACGTCAACAGCCCTTTCTTCTCAAGTGCCTCTGGGTAGACTCGAATCTCCCATCTTTTTAAAAAATTTTTACAATCATTTTATTGAGGGCTCATGCAACTCTTATCACAATCCATACATGCATCCATTGTATCAAGCACATTTGTACATTTGTTGCCCTCATCATTCTCAAAACATTTTCTTTCTACGTGAGCTCTTGATATCAGCTCCTCATTTTCCCCTCCCTCCCTGATCTCCCCTCCCTCATGAACCCTTAGGTAATTTATAAATGTATTATTAGTTTGTCATATCTTATACTGTCCAATATCTCCATTCACCCACGTTTCTATTGTCCGTCCCCCAGGGAGGAGGTCATATGTAAATCCTTGTCATCGGTTCCCCCTTTCTATCCCACCCTCCCTCCACCCTCCCAATATCGCCACTCTCACCACTGGTCCTGAAGGGATCATCCTCCCTGGATTCCCTGTGCTTCCAGTTCCTGTCTGTCCAGTGTCCATCCTCTGGGCTAGCTGGAATCTCCCATCTTTGGGTTAGCCACCAAACCCTTCGTCATTTGTACAAGCCAAGGGACTCTTGTAAGAGATTGCTGTCCGAACAATTGACTCACAGCGACCCATGTGTCACAGAGTAAAAACCGTGTTCACCGTTCAAGGCTGTAACCTTTTAGAAGCAGATTGCCAGGCCTGTCTGAACCACCCACCAGGATGCCAGTAGTTCAGCACTTAACCTTGTGCACCAGGCAGGGACCCTGGTCAGAGATTAGGGAACTTCTACTCTCAACAAAACCCTACTCTGACTGATGACACTGGTCATCCAGTCCACGGCATCATTCTCACTCTCTCCAAGCCTTTATCTTCTCCTCCCATCTGCCAGGGCTTGTTGCTCCAGAAGCAAATAGCAAATCAGTGAGTTGAACCAACTGAGACTGACAAAGATAAAGAGGTGCCTGTCTCATGGTATCAGTCCCACACCTTGGTCTTTTAGTGCAGCTGCTGACCAGAAATAAAGTGGACAACAGCCCTGGGCTTAAGTGACTGCCCAGAAGGCTCTTGTAGGTCCTCCTGTCTCCTGCACGCTAATTATGTGCAGCTCACACCTGTCCTTTGTCCCCCAAGCCCAGCCAGGATGCTCTCATGAGAGAAGGCATCCACAACACCCCAGAATCTCCAAGCATCTTCCCCCCCAGACAGACAAGAGCTTATGGACCCCAGAGGAGTGGGGTTTGCTTACCAATGGCAGTGGTGAGAAAAGAAACCACTTCTGACTCCTTTCCGTCGTTGTAAAAAGCCAGGTGCCAGATTCCGGAATCCAAATACTGGATGAAGCCTGTCTCATGGCTCGAGGGAGGGGCGACTCCCCGAGACTGGCGCTGGGGTCCTTCCAGACTCCGTGCTTCCTGGGTGAGGAGCCTCCTTCCATCCAAGAGCTCCACAAAGTCAAACTGCAGCACAAGGAGAGCAACATTATCAGGGGACCTGCTTCATCTTTCCCCCAGATCTTCACTCCTCTCAAGGCAAGAGTGAAGAGGCTAGAACCACCTGGAGGCTGATCACCCAACTCAGACCTCCTTCCCAAGTCCCACTGGGCCCACGGCCATCTCCTGATTCTCATGCGTGGGTTATTCTTGTAGTCTCCATCTGTTCAGATTTTGTTGTGTGTGGGGTTGAGTCTTCCTTGGCTATGCTTGCACCAGGTCGACCATGTGTTTCTCGATGATGGGCACATGACTGGAAACCCAGCTAGTTAGTGACTGTTGAACTGCATGTCAATCACGACGGGAGCCTGAGGGTCTAGGCCAGGGGCTGGGGCACCGGGCCTGCTAGACCCATCGGTGGAGAGCCAATGAGAATTCTGACTATCTTCCTTTTGTCAACGAGCCTTTCCAAATTCTCCAGCTTCAGGGAGTACTTTTAGGGAAAGGAAACTCGATGAGCTCAGAACTGGACCAGGCGGTATCAACTCTAATTGCTGATTGATCGGGGATTGCTAGTGCAAGGCTCAAGAGCAGTCAGTCTCTCAGGGCTAACAACAGGCAGGGGTTAGATCCTCCTGGCCGAGGAGCAAGCCAATTGAGTTAATTTCTTCCTCTCTTATCTTTAAAAAGATATATAAAGATACTATTTTCTCTAACGTGAAAAATATCGTCTAAAGGTAGCAAGTCCAGGACCAGTGTGGTAGCTCTGTAAAGTCACCGGGGACCCAGGTGCTCTCTACTCTTGCGGACTTCACATTTAACCAGTGCAGCCCTGCCGCTTTTGACTAGCATTCTCAAAGAGGGATGGGAATAGCCTTGCTCCCAGGCTGAGCCCACTGTAAAGCTGATGACAGCAGAGGCAGTTCGGTTAAAAGGTAACACCTGATCACGTTTGTTCTCCCATTTCACCCATTTTAAAGTTGTTTCGGTTTTTAGTGTTTCCTGCTGTCTTTTGTTGGAACTTAACAAAATCACTTTTGGGGGGGCTCTGACAGCTCTTCGAATATTCCATACATCCATTGTATTGAGCACATCTGTACATTTGGCTGTCTTTTTCATGGAAGTTTTCTATGTTTTGTCTTGTCACTATTGTTGGTTTTTTTTGGGGGGGGTGCTGTTGTTTGCTTTCTGTTTGTGTTTTGTTAGGCTTTTCATCTATGAAATGCAGGACAGACAGATCTATAGAGACAGCCGCTGGGTTGATAACTGCCTAGGCGCATGGTGGGGGAGGGGAAGTGGGGAGCACACAACCACGAGTATGAGAACATGTTCTGCAATTGATTGTGGTGATACTTGTACAACTCTTCATATGATTGAACAATTACATCATATGATGTGTGAAGCATATGCTGATACAAGTATTTTTAAAAGTATCAACTAGCCGGTGGCCTAGGAAGACTGTTTTGACCTGGGGATATTGAAGACGGGGGTCTAGTCCACATGCCTGCCAACTTCAGCGTTGGCAGGAGCTTGCTCACATCTCTCTGGTTACCGATGATGACTGGGGCAGAGCCAGGCCTCTGGGGCCAGCCTTCGAGGATGCCCAGTGTGCACATGTGCACGAGCTGGTATCCGAATCCTGGGCCCAAGCTGGTATATCTGACAATAACAGGGCTCACACTCAGGTTTATCTGATGCCAAAATGCATGCTTTTCTTTCTTTTTTTTTTTTTTTAAGTTACGATTTCCACTCCCTTCTAGATCATATCTTGTAGAGAAATTAACTTAGGAGACTGGGTGTTGGGGTGTTTCCCACCTCTTAAAGGTTCCCAGAGATATAACCTTCCTCACACAGAACCTGGGGGGGAGGGGATATGGACAGGTGGGTTCAAAGACCCAGTTAGGGCTTGTTGGCTTTGGGCTAAGATCTGAGAGAGAAGTCCCCTGCAGAGCAGCAGAGTCCTGGGGGATCTGGTTACCTGGGTATGCGAAGGAGGCAGGCCTTTTCTACCATAAATGCCAACCAGTGCTGCCTTTCCCAGAGACACGTTGAATTTCAGATGCACAGGATGATCTATGAACACTTGCGATCTCCAGAAAGTGCCGGGAGGGATCTTCTGGGAAGCCCGTCTCCCCACGTCGATTTCTCCAGAGTCGATAAAACTGTCCTCGGGAAAGAAACTACTGGACTTTCCTACCGAGACACAGGGAAGGGGAGGCAAGCACATCACGGTCAACCACAGATGAAGCAAGGGCCCAGGGCCTCCGAGCCGCCAGGACTCTCGCCAGCTTTGCCCTCCCCCTCCGCCACGTGCCGCTGCCAGCGCCCTCTCGCCAAGTGAGGGGTAAGAACGGCTCATCGCTTCCCAGACCCCTCCCCCTGGGATGCTCAAATTGTTCTGCTAAAAATATGCCTGCTTCCCAACCGGTATGGGTCCTCCCCGAGGGCCATCTGTTTACTGCATCACTCCACAGCTTGTTAAGATATATTATGATCCTAAAAATAATCAGCTGTGGTTGCATGAGACTGTGTGTGTGTGTGAAGGAGTGCATGCTAATAGGAAAAAACAGAGAGAGCGAGGTATTGTTATTACATTTGCAACTCAGATTGATTCCCCAAGCAGTGAGTAGAGTGACCTGCATGAAGCGAGGTATGCAAAAAGCTCCTTAGTTGACTGATGGATAAAGTGGAAGCCACACTGTGAGGCTGGGCCATGTGGATGGGCAGGGGTGGGGGCGTGGCTGTGTTAGGGTTGGGCCGAGCTAGCGACTGGGGGAAAGGAGGAAAAACTGATTTCTGAAGGGAGAAACATTTCTAAAAAAAATTCTGTCTTTGGATGAGGGGGAAGGTGCACATCTTTTTGTGCTAAGATGGGCCAAGTTGAGAGACTTTTTGAAGTTTAGACAAAATATCGCTGGCACACGTGGCCATTCAACTCAGATCCTCGATGCTGTGCCCGGTGTGCTGTCAGGATTACAGCCTTTGCTTGGGCATGACTGAGGAGCCCCATGGCTTTGTGGGGACACTTCCAGTGCCAGGAAGGAAGGTCGCTTATCAAGTTTCCTCGGTCTAGTAATTAAATACATTCACATATGAAAAGTATAAACCCTGGCTTCCTGCCAGAAATCAGCCTTCTGAGGAAATGGGAGGGAGTGGGCGGCTGTAGGGACGCTGGAGACACGGCCCTCAGGACATCTTCTAGAGCATCCAGAAGGCGGCCCCTGGGTACCCCGGGTCCACGGCTCTCTGAGTTGTTAAAGACGTTTGAGGAGACAGTTTAGAGACTAGAATTCATTTGTAAAGAACACACGTCGGTGGGAACTCTGATGAAAAACATTTGGGGAATAAGAAATTAAAATGTCTTTTTCCTAGCTATGGAAGACTCCTTACAAAGCACATTTGATGCTGAAATGGAGATTGGCAGGGCATTATTGTAGTCATAAAATATTTTACTGTTTTAAATAATAAAATTCAATTTAAATGCTAAATTTCTCCATATGTTATCATTCCCCTATAAACTTCTCGGCAGAAACATCAGGGCTTGTTTTTTTTTTTTTTTAGCTTCAAACCATTAAATGTTATTTTAATTAAAAAATATGCCAACAACTCAAAAAAAGTTAAAATGCATGCTAACAATAAAAGTACCACAAGTATTATGTCATTAGCCTGGGAAAGAGTTTACATTTAATTCCTTTTCAGAAAGGAATGTCTCCCCAGAATCTTACCTTAAAATATGAACGGGGACACACACACACACACACACTCTCTCTCTCTCTCTCTCTCAAAGTTCAAAGATAAAAGCCAAGTTGACAAAGCATTGATATGGCAGAGAATTACTTCGACATTCTCCCTTCTCTGAATTTTAGCTTTCTAATGCTACAGTCATTTTCTATTCCAGGTTTAAAAAGAGAGAGTATACCCTTCCTTCAGCTTTAGATTCAGCTAAGGATGCAGAGCTCTGAGCGAATCCAAAACAAAGCGGAACGAGCTCCCAGCTTGTGCTCCTGGAAATTACATGGAAATAGGTCTGAGGCTGCTAATTCAAGGACTCATTTCCTTTGTCAGTGGGTGGGTGGGAGTCAGAGCTGTTAGGATTTCAGGCTTGTGTGACATCAAACAATTCCTAGGTTTGAAAATAAATCATGGACAACTGAGGCCAGATTTTACCCTGTTGCTAGAGAGCCTTGCACAGTTCATGTTTCTGGGAGGAAGCAACTACTAACTACATCAGCCAAGTTCTGTGGCCACAGAGGTCAAGGCCAAGCCCAAAGATTCCCCCAGAGGTCCACAGGTTCCAGGAGCAGAACTAAACTGACTCTTTCCCGAGAGGAGGTGGAAAACGGTGGATTTTCTTTTTCAGTAAGCTAGTGTTGCCCAGTGGTAAGGTGGGTTAAGCTATGGGCTGCTAACCTCAAGGTTGGTAGTTCAAATCCATCAGCTGCTCTGCTGACAGCTGAGGCTTGTTGGCTCCCATAAGACTTAGTCTTGGAAACCATACGGTCTGTCCTACAGACCCACTTTGAGTTGGAATTGACTCGGTGCTAGTGGGCTTAGTATTTCACCTAGAAATATGAGGGAAAATAGGATTGGTATATATATAACAATGAAACAAAGACAGTAAATTTGGGGTGGGGGGCACGCTTCACCAGACCTGGACCTTCCATAGTGGGGTCTGTGAGGGTCACGCTGGAGATTTGGTTCAGAGGTGACTTCTGTGGTAGAAGTCATCCAGTCCCAGGCCTCAGCCTCTCAGAGGGCTCCGAGAAGCCGCTGTGCAGATTTCACCTGCCGCCAGTCCTCCTCTCCTTCCCACCCGAGGAGCCCTGTGGCCCAACGGTTAGTGCTCAGTTCCAACCCGAAGGACTGGCGCTCCACACCTACCCAGCGGCTTTGCAGGAGGAAACCCTGGGTGTCAATCTGCTGTCATCGGGGTCACAGCCAAGAAAACGCTGGAGGCCATTCTACTGCTCTACGCGGGGTCCCTGAGTCAGAGCAGCCCTAATAACAGCACGCCGCCCCCACAAAACGACATCTAAGAAGGGAATGGGCACCGTCATCAGGAAAGAGTCTGCAGCCTGTTCACTGCCTTTACCTGATGGACAAGACGTGAGATTGGCTGGGCTGAGGATCTGGCCGGAGTAGCCTCCCAGCTCCTTTGCCTTTAAAAAGCCCTACTATCTTCCTCTCTCTAGATCCCATACTTGAAGCCTTGTCCTTAATTCTGAGCAACACACTGTGGGTACTAGGATAGCAAAGAACCTAACCCCCAAACCACACCCATTCCCAGGGAGTTATTTCCAACTATATGGAAACACTTAGCATACGCAATGCAACCCGTGAAGGTTTCCCTTGTTCTCGCTGAAGGATTGCCTCTTGCTTGGTCCATGTGAGGTTCCTTAGTGAGCACAATAAAGTACTCTGGAATTCCCATTCTTTTCAACAACATCATCATCACACAGCAACCCACCAACGGTAGAGTCAAAGGGGAGGATAAAGGCTCACGGCAGTTGGAAGAGGAAAGTCTTGTGCGTAAAATTCAAATTCCTACCTACAGTCTAGAAAACAGTAACATTATTATAATGACATGAATAACACTGTCATTATGATAGTAACAGTAATAAAGGTAGAGGTAGAAGCCTTAATGATAATAATATTAACTACCCTTTACTGAGTTCCAACTACATGCTGAGCACTTGCCAATATATCAGTTCACGTAATTCTCACAAGAAAACCCGTAGACTGAGACTTGGAATGCTTAAGAAACCATTTAGAGACTAAGTCATTTGGACTCATTCTTTAGTTGGCAGGACATGACCTTCCAGAGGATTAAATTAATGGGTGATTAATTGAAATTCTACAAAGACATTCCTGATTGGGGTGGGGGGAGGTGCACTGACCCCCTCTTCAAGAGCAAGAGTCCAATTTAATTCACAGTCTCCGCAAGTTAAATATCAAGGCTAAGTCAGTTAGAGTCATAAGCCACTTAAGAAGTTCCTGGCATCACGGAACACAAGAAGTTGACTATTTTTATTAAAAGAAACCCACACACAGCTCCATAGTTATAGGCCAGTAGTCAGGGTCTCTGGAAACCCTTGAGAAGAACAGGGAAGGCCCACCAGGTACCCCGATGGCTTAACTCTCAACAAAGGGCTTAACTCAGGATTCGGGACCCCCAACAGCATGATCATGTTGCCACGGGCAGAGCCTCTCGTAACAGTCCCTTTCTTTGTTAAGATGTATTGATCTGATGTAGATCCATGCCTTCTCTAGCAGTGCTGGGTAAGTATGCACTCATGAATATAAAAGAAATTGCTCAACGAATTGCTGAAATGATTGGATAGCTCAGTTAAATAGGGGAGACTTAGTAGAACTGAAATCCCGTGCACTTCCCAGTAAGGGTCTTTACTCTCCTGATCTGCTACTGATGTACAGCAGGCCCACCCTGCTAATCAACTACATTTTCTCCTCCATCCCCACCTTTCTGGTTTTATTTTTATTCATTTATTTATTTTTTGCAATGTCATAACCCACACAAAGAATCCCTTAGTTTCCTTAGCAACTGTTGAAATTTATTTGATTATCAAAATAAGCTGTTCCACTTGGGGAGCCCAGCTGAGTCTGTGTGCAGCAATCTGCATGGTTCAAACTGACAGGCAATTTGGATTTCATTGCAGAAAGGAGAAAATGCTATCCCTAGCCCGTCAGTTCAGCCATCAGAAATGCTTGTTTATCCCATGCTTCTCCCCCTTCCCATTAATGTATAACACACGTTCCGTGGCTTTACTCTGAAAAGCTGCGGTATTTGGTTTCCATCCCATGACAATCTCAAAATGGTTAGAGCCACTTTGAAAATGTAGTATGAATGGCCCTTTGAGGTTGTTCTCAAGGACATAACGAACATGTAAAACACTCAGCTTACCACAAAGTTCATGTGCATAATGGAAAGAATAGCTATCTATCCTTTAACAATAATCAAAAGTGTCCCAAACCTATGCAGGGTATGTTGGTGTAAAAGGTTAATTAACTTAGATTTCCGGAATTTTGATAAGTGACAGAGAATGATTCGAGATTCAGACAGACAAGAAGGGAACTAAAATGTGTTGCGTGGCTCCTCACTACAGGCCTTTCAGCGGAGGTGTCAGCACCTGGACTCCACGGAGGAGACAACGAAGACCGAAGAAGAGGGAATAGCTGGCAGGAGTTAACATTGCCAGGAAAGGGTAAGATCAGGAATTGAACCATCAACACTCAGCCCAGCTTATTTACTCTACTCCCATAGACAAGACTTCTTCTCTCCCTGTAGCAACAAGAACATCAATCTTCATTCTGGACTCTGCTTTCTTCTGATACTCTGGGATGAGACAGGAAATATGTTTTTTTTTTTAAAAATCAGGGTTCAGATTTTGAGATATGTCTAAGGAAAAAGGCCTTTCACGTCACAATTAAAAACAAACTCAGTAGACAGCAGCGTAAAAGAAATTAAGAACCACGTGGTCTCTCGTAGACTGCAGGAAGTTCTGTTTTTCCAGCCCCGTGTCTTTTGCAAGCTGATATCATTGTTTTCGATGCTGACCACTTTCCAGCACTGCACTGCATTTAAGAGGCTTGTAAACAGGATTTCCATTTCATTAGTAGTGACAGATAGTCCCTTTAAGCAAAAAATACTCCAATTAACCTGATGCAATTTTATTTTGCCTCTTATCAGTACCTCCTGCTCCTCGGGAAAACCAGACCAAACCTAAACAATCCACAGACTCTAATTTCATTAGCGTGAGAGATTACAGATAGAACCAACTCCTGTTGAAAGAATGTTTGACACAGATGGTGGAAGGAAGAAAATACATTTTGCTAAATAAGACCATCCACCAATTCCTTAAGGGTTCAACAAATCTTCCATCTACTTTTGTGCATGCTGCCCTAAAGACAGTCCTCACATTATGTCATCCACCTATATAGCAAAGGATCCTACTACAGACTGGCACTGTTATCATCACGTCAACTGCCAGGACCATGGACAGGGCCAACAGTAACTTTTGGGTGGGAAGTCATCTAGTTAGCTATGTGATTGAATACTACTCACATCTGCAGAATGTGCCAATCATAATGGGGTTTAGATCATATTTAGCTCAATAACTTTTTAAAAGATGAAAATAAAGCCAGAAGAGCAGTTCAAGGCATCCCGCTGAGGGTCGCACCACTGGTCAGTGGCAGCACCTGGACTTGAACTTAGGCTTCTAGCCTCTTACTTCATAGTTCTTCTCACAGCCCTGCCCACAATATAGCCTTCCATATTCCATTAACATACAAAGACAGTACAAATTATTAGGACTGTTAAGTCTTAACATTTTTTATAAAGGAGAGAGCTGGCTTTCCCCCTCACAACAGGAGTCAGGCATCCTGATTGGGTTTTGTGAAACTGTCCCCAAATTTCACTCCATTAAAGATGACCATAGGTCCAGAGTTGACGTTGGCCTTGAGGACCATCGTTTCGAAGGTCACAGACGTTCTCTCTGATCAAGCACAGAACACCTTGTTACCCAATAGGATGCTTAGCAAGCAAATACTTGAAAGGCTTGGGAGACTCAGAGCCATAGCCCCAGAGCTCACTGGGATGAGAGGACAAAGAAGGTGACACACACAGGAGACTGGAGGCCCCAATAGCCGTTACCAACTGTGGCGACACCAGAGAGAGACAGCAGAGAGTATAAGTCACCGCAGAACGGAGGAGAAGAGAGGCCCGCACTGCCTACAATGAAGACCAGACTGCCTGTCAATGTGACACTTCTGGTGAACTTCTTGAGTGAACTTTCCCCACTCTTGGTTTACTGTCAAGTAATGTGTGTCTACCGATACCTGATGGGGAGGACTCCGGAGAAACTTAGGACTGAACTCTGTGGACCTCCCCTTTCAGAAGGCCAATGGCCCAAGGCAACCACCACCATTTTTGAGAAAGAAATAACCCTGCCTCGTTGTACAATGGATGTTTGCATCCAGCTCGCCTTCAGGGGTGTTCTAGCCAAGGCAGGCAGGAGGGAGGCTGGCGTTCAGAGAAGGCAAGAGTCCCTGGGGTTACAGAGACCTGTGCTCTTATCCCTAGTCTATGATTTACTGGCCAGGTGAGGGTGGCCAAGTAAATTAACATCACCCTTCGCTTTGACTTCTAAAATAGAGAGGAAATATCATACTTACCTCACAGGACCTCTGTGAGGATTACATTTGACATGTTCTTGACAGAAAGTTTTGTAACAAACACACTGTACAAACACTAATAATTACTGCTATTTTTACAGATGAGAAAACCAGGGCTTTGGGAAATGAGGTGATTTGTTGGAGATCACGTGGTTGGGAAATGAGGTGATATGTTGGAGACCACGTGGTTGGGAAATGCCGGAACACTTGGAACGAGTGCTGTGGACCACGAGGATCTGAGGATGTGCCCATTATGGCAAACCATGGGCCTGCCACCACCCCACCTCCCCACTGCTCCCAGAGATACCTCCCTAGAGGTTTCCCTGACAGGGCTTGCCTGCTCCCTGGCACTCCCAGATGGCCACCCCAGCCGTGCGAATGCCCACAATGCTCCCCTGGAGGCATGGGATGGGATGCTGCCGAGAGCTCGCGGTGACAAGGGACGGAGATGCAGACATGGGCAGACTGGCAGCCGGTGTGGAGCGAGGGATGGAGGAAGCGCCAGCGCATGGAGCTGTGAGCCAGGCACGTGACGCGCAGAATGGAGGTCTCCTTGGGTCAAAGGCAGACACAGAGGACTCACGACACGGACAACACAGCAACCCTACCTTCTGTGGCTCCTTTGCCTTTCCTGTCAGGGATCTCTAACCCAGTGCCCCCTGAGGGATACAGGGAGACGTCCGTTGGCACAGGCCAACTGCTGGCTGTGTCCTCCGTGATCTCATACATCTGCCCCTCCATCGGCTGCAGGTGCCAGTTTAGGCCAAACAGGTGCATGGCTGTGGTGAGCAATGAGAAAAGTCATCTTTTTCTGCTGGACGTTTGGTTCAACAACTACCCTCTGGGGGCCCAGAGATGGTCAGGCTTGGACCCTGCCCTGAAGGGGCGCACGGTCTGTGTGGGGCAGGGAGGGTACAGGGCAGGGGAACTTCAGGAGGTCTTGACCGTTAACTTCAAAAGATAAATAACCATCTGGGATGTGGGGGATTGTCATTTGCATAACCAAGGGTTCATCTGCAAAGTCCAACAACTGAGTAGCCAAGCAGGCACAGAGTGTACACAGTTTACAGAGCAGGAAAATGCACCATGGCTCACAGTCCTAGGCGAAGTCTCTTGCCATCACTCACAGTAAGAGGCATGTAAGTCACCACACCAGAATGCCATTTTCCACCGCTGGTTTGGCGAAGGTGACAATGGCTGAAGATGCCTTAGGCTGGCAGGGCCTGGGACACTAGCACCCTCACAGATGGCTCCTGTGAGCCAGCGTACACCAGTAAGCCTGTGGGGGGGCAACATATCCCCTTACCATAGGACTTAGTGAGTTTGCTTCTAAAGTTTCTTCTCCAGATCTACCCACCCATTTACCAAATGAGTTACATTCAACATTAATCCCAGAAGCATTTTTTGTTTAATTAGAAAAAGACAAGGCAACTTCCAGAAGTCACTGCGCAGGCCTTTCTTCCTCGTCCCCCTCTGGCTGGAAGCTCCGCTGAAGCCTGGTCACGGACATCCTGACACGCGGCCTGCAGAGCTGCAGGGGGCTGGCTGGGCAGGCGCGGAACCCCGGGAACCCCGGAGAACGCGGTGCCGGGGCCACCAGTGAGGCCCGGCTGCCTTGCGCTCTGCCTGCAGGTTCAGCGGCGGGGGCTTTCCCGCCCCCTCGGCAAGAAAAGGACCCGCTAACTAATATGCATGGGAGGAGTGCATGCTCCGTTTCCGTTGCTGAATTAGCTCACATTTCTGCCTACTTTCTTACTGCTTCAATCTATATATCGGCAACTCCGGCAGTAATGAAGAAATCGTCCCCACTAAGGACAACTCGGCTACGTGCAGCAAAC